TTGTGAAGTTTAAGTAGGTAGTTCTGTAAAGAATGAAGTCTAGTTAATGTCGGGTCATAATCCAATTTCTTAAACTTAGAGGAATCAGAAAAAAGAGATTTGATGGAAATTACATAATCAGAGCGATTAATGAGCACAATGCCATTTCCTTTATCAGGCTTAAGGATGGCAAAAGTTTCGGTTAGTTTGTTTAAAATGTTTATCTTCTTGCGCCCTAGCTTAAACTCCTTCAAGTCAAGATCAATATAATTATAAGTGAAGGAGCGAAGAGAGTTCTTAATCTTATCTTGCACGTATCTTCCTTCCTTGAAAATATCCAAACGTGATACCTGTCTCCAAACGTCTTCAGCCACAGCCATGATTTCTAGTTGGTTAGGTCGAGTTGCCAGGCCATATCTGAGTCCCAACTTCAAAACATCTAGTTCATCGGACGAGAGTGAGTGATTCGTCAAGTTCACAATTGTTTCGTTCGGTAAAAAACTCTCTTATTTTGTTTCCAACAAAGATAAACTTCCTCCTTTATCTCGTAGTAATCTTGTATACGAGGTCGCTTGCCCTGGTTGTGGCAAAACCTATATTGGCATGACACAAAGATGCCTTTCTGTACGTTTGAAAGAGCATGCAACTAGGCTCTCTTCTAGTGCAGTGGGCCAACATTTTTCTGAATGTGAACATGCTCAATTCTTAGCTACTTTACAAGACCAGTTCACACTACTCAACGATCTTCCTTTGCCTTCTGACAACTCTTCTCCTATTGAAAACCTTGTTTTCAACAGCTACAGAATACTTCACATTACAAAATCTAACAACTACAACATTCTTGCTTTTCTTGAAGCACTGCTTATCAAACATAACAAACCTTTTCTTAACACTGGACTTAAAGCTAGTAAAGAACTACAACTGTTCACATAACACTTTAACTTAATATCTTCTACTTGTCGGGTCTTCCCTTTCTATCTTATTCCTTTTAATATATTAAACATTGTTGTAAATATAGCGAAATAATCCATTCTCAGTTAATTACTTTTTTCTCTATCATGTTTCGCTTCGCTTGGATAATCCTTCTTTCCGCCCACATGACAGATGCTCTCTCTCTGCGTTGTATATATATATGTGTTGTAAAGTATTGTATTTCATTCTGTCTGAAGATGACTTTGAAATAAAGTCGAAAATTTACAGTCTCAAACTGCGTCTTGTTTTGAATTATATATTGAATTCTCAAGATGTCCTGTATTTTCGGAATTTGCTTTTTACTTTACACAACCTATATATTTGTAACTTTTGATATACAATACCTTGATGACTTGATCTTTTGACAACACGAAACAACTTTATTATTGCCAACGATTGCCCAGCTAGCGAGATCACACTTCGCTAGTATAAAATATAAAAATATAGCGAGTTCACACTTCGCTAGTTGCTGCCGAAGGCAGCACTCCTAATCTTGCTACCAAGCTTCTTTCCTTATTTTTGGATCGTTTTCCATTCAAACTATTAATGAAGTTTGTTAAAAGTATTTTGTTTTACGAGTTTCTCCTTGAAATACCGTACATTCATATATTATCATTTCGCGAATGAAAATACGTGGAATTCATGCGCTATTTTCTATGAGATAAAACACAAGAGAAATGGAATTTACCTTTCAAAACTTTTGCTTGCCTTTTTTAATATCCTCATATTTTTATTTCGTGCTTGAATCGATGAGCTTTTATAAAAAAAATAGCGTTTTATTTTTAATAACAAAGTTTCTCCTTGGCTTTGCTTTGTCCACCATGCATGTATTTTATTTATATATAAATACGAAGTAAATTCGGGAGTGAAAATACGTGAAATTCAGGCGCTATTTTATATGCGAAAAAGCAAAAGACAAATCGACTTTACCTATCAAAACTGTTTCTTGTCTTCTTTAATATCCTCACATTATTATTTCGTGCTTTTTAAGGCTTTTTTTAAAATAATGAAGTGTTTTGTTTTAATACGAGGTTCTCCTTTGTTTGCCATGTAGTAATGTCTTTACGAAGTAATTTCGGGAGTGAAAATACTTGAAATTTTGACGCTATTTTATATGAGATAAAGGAAAGACAAATGCTATTTACCCGTCAAAGCTTGCCTTCTTTCAAAACTTCTTATTTCGCGCTCGCGCAACAAGGTATTCAATTTTTTTTCCTCTTTGTATAAATTTCCTAATTTATTCGTGCATGACTTGTTGCTTTTGGAAATTTTCAAGAAAATCCCTCCCTGGCGGCGAGAAATTTGATTTTCCCGCGAAAAGTTTGTTTATTTTATCTAGCCAATGCGATCTTTAGGATCTGTGACGTCAGGCAGGTTTTGTGCATCCTAACAGCTGTTCGCCATTTCAAGCCCGAAACCGTTTATATTTCCTCAAAGTTTTCGTGTTTGCAATTGTTTTAAAGCGAAAAAAATACTTGTCAAATGCTCAAATGCCGCCCGGGAGTTGCCAACCTTTTAGTATATATACTGTATATACATAATCATTTCAATACGCTCCGCTTGCGCACGGTTGCGTTGTTAGTATCAACGGTTGAGTGACCATGTCTATACTTCATGCAGTTGATGTAGCGCTATATAAAGCTTATCAATGATAACAGCTCTAAAACGATAAAACCGGACAACCTGTTGGCGAACTAGTCACAACTGAACTACAACATTTTTACACATTTTAAAACTATAACACAGGTTCCTAATACATTTTTTAAGCCGTTATGCCAGGCTTAAACCAACAGTTTAATAGGGGCGATGTTTTGGGACATCGATCCTGTACAGTTTGCACTAGTGTATACAATGGTCGCGCTTAAACTATGGTGATTCCTAGCAAGCTAAAACTACGTTTACACCACAGATTACGCATATACAGATGTGTAACTTCAGTTCGGTAATACGGTCGCCATCGTCCTAGCAAGTGTCGCTCGCGTGATAATTTGGTAATTCTAGGTAATACGTCCTTTGGTAAAACTATATACAAGGCCGCCATCTTCCTAGCAAGTGTCATGACGTGTGCATGACGTGCACAGCTTAGGGAAATTTTAGGACACGCCTATGCAGTTACACATCTGGTATATACGTTATCTGTGGTTTACACGCAATTAACGATTAATCGGGCTTATTTCAGGTTTTGTCGAATGTTAATGATGAATGTTGAGACAGATTTAGAAAAGACGACGCGACCTCAAAGACGACGTGGATGTCGTCATTTGCGCCAACTATCGTCAGCTTCTGGTTTGCGACGTCGTCTTGGACGATTTCACGACGCGAAAATACAATTTTCACATCCTCTCTAGAACGTCACAGATTTTGCTTCTTTTGAAAAAAATATGAGACTATCAAATCATCCTATTTTGTTCGCCATGTATTGTTTAATTAATTAATGATACTAGCCAAAGTTTTTCCATTGACAAGGTCAATTTTTCTTGTATTTCGCTAAATTTTGGACGTGTTGATTTTCGACAAATAGTTTCGGTCACCATAACAAATCAACAAAACTGCAAGCATTGTTAATAGCCACTTCAATACAGCTAGTAATCTTCAACAAAACAAACATTTTAGAACAAACTAAACTGAAGTTATATTAATAACTGTTTAAAATCAGGAAAACGTGGGAAAATAGAAGAATAAAAGCACTTAAAAGCAGTAAAAACTCAATCAATTTTAGTTGCTCTGTCACAACAGTGCAAAAAGTAGGACAAGCAAAAAAAACGCTTTCCAGCGTGAAAAACTATCGTGAAACAGTATTAAATTTTACTAATATAAACACTGATGCTATATTTATACTGAACAGTTGACAAACTTGATTGAATAGGCTACCAATAAAGCATTTAGCTCGTAAACAATACCTGCAGCTATCGTATTTATTCCAAATGATGCAACAAAGTTCACTTTTCAATTAAATACCAAAATATATGTCTTTTTCTGAAAGAAACTTATTGAATGTTCATACTAATTCATCAGGAAACACTTGGCCAGTATTACATAGCCTTTTCTTGCACATATCTTGACAACTGATTGAAAACAATACAGGAATGAACAGGTAACAAGAAAACAAAAATTTGCTTCGAAAAAGACAAACAAGCCGTCCTAGATTAAAACCCGGAAGTGAACGCGAGGTGCATACGTCATTTTCACGTCGTCTTAGACGTCGCGTCGTGTTTTCTAAAGGCCGTTTACCACTTCGCCCGTATCGTAACGTAACGTACCGGTGAGCATGCGCAGCTTGAAGATGGGTTTTCAAATTTACGTACTTCCGGTTGATTCGCGTATCAAAATAAAAATTTCGTCTATTAGCGTAGTACGGAAGTATTAATTAAACCAATCAACATTCACTAAATTTTGACATTTAAAATTTGCTTTGATACGTGTCGGTACGTTACGCTTGAAGTGGAAAACGGCCTTAAATCTATCTAATGTCGTCAGATGACGTTGATAGCGTTTTCTTTCAAATAGCATTTAATTAAAGCTGAATCGACCCGATTAAAATCGTTGTGTGTAAACGCATGAGACTATATAGGCTTGTGATTTATAGTTGGGATAAAATCGAAGAGAAACATTTTGTGCACGAAACATGGAGATATTACCTTCGTGTGCGCACGCCATGCTAAAACAGGCAAACATGAGACCATTTGGGCAAAGGTCTATTTTGTTAAATCTATGCACAGTGAAGCCGCTTCTCGTCATAGCTCAGTATGGGTGGCTATGTCGACTAACTATGTCGTAATGTCCATAATATATATATTTTACATAGTGTTATGATATCTCAAAGATAATCTGAATAAATAGGTAGCAAGCGCAGTCTATAACAGCCATGATAATCAGGAAATTAAAAAGTTCTTGCCGTAAACACTTCTATTCTTTCTTAGTTCATGGCTTATCTTTGTACTTTTGTGATGCTTGGGACCCACCCCCTCCCCAATTGCCACTCGAGTTATTTCCTCCACCCCCACCTCCCCATTTAGTGCTCCAGTTGCTGCCTCCACCTCCGCCATTACCTTTACCACCTCTCCATTTCGTACTCCAGCTGTTATCACCACCACCACCTTGATTTCCTCCCCATTTTGTGCTCCAACTTGAACCACCTCCCTGATTTCCACCCATACCAGCGCCTCCTTGACTTCCACCCCTACCTCCCCCACCCCCACCTCCCCCACCCCCACCTCCCCCACCTCCTTCCGCCATACCTCCTCCACCTCCCTCACCTGTACCTCCCCCACCTCTTCCACCGCCCTCACCGCCACCTCCCTGACCTCCACCATCACCCTGGCCGCCTGCAGCTGTACCACCACCACCACCACCACCACCACCGGGCACCCATTTGGGATTTTTACAGAACGATTTATCATAAGTTCCCCTGAAAACATTCTGAGGTTCCTTTCCCATCCAATTTCCAGGCGGTTTATAACGTCCTACCACATAGGTACAGTCACCTTTCGTAGCCCTGCCTATGCCAAGTTCCAAACTTGTTTTCCAAACAATTTGAGTGAAATGACCAACTGCCTTGCCATTGATTGATTTTCCGGAATTAAAATCATAGTCACACACCTCTTTATACCTACACAAAAAAGACCAACAAATAAGCAATATGCCAACTTGTGAGACGTCCAAAATCCTGATTTGTAAACAAGGTGCCTTTTTTCAGAAACGCAGTTTATATTTGACATTTTTGCTGATATATCCGGTCATGTTACAGTCAAAATACAAGAACCTGCTCATTTCCGCTTCTCTAATCTTGTAATTTTCTGTGAATTGTTCGGTTTTTAACTAAGTGGCGGTTACCAAATTGTGAGCAAATATGGGACAAAATCTAATTTGCTTTGTTTTATATGATAATAATAACTTCGCTTCACTGCATTATAAAACGTAAAAAGTGCGGAGCAGGGTCTTCGCTATAGGGCGTGTGTGTGGGGTGTGACCCCCCCCCCCCATAAAAATATCTTGTCGGGAAAATAACGGATTTGTCGGCAAATTGTTTTTGTAGTGAGCGGAAATATTCAAGTGTCTCCGATTAAAAAGTAAAAGTATAGCCAAAATTTTGATAAATTAGCGAAAAAAAACCCGAAACATTTTAATAAATTACGGTACGTTAACTCGAAATTTAGTAAATTAAATGGTATGTCCGGAAAATTTCTTTACACCGCCCATTTTATCACGGTATTCGTCTATATAAGTCGCTAATCAAACACCATACATTGGTATCACCTTAGTATTTATACATGAACTTGGGGTTAGAGCTCAATAACTGTCTCCCTGTAGCTCGGTCAGTTGGTTAGAGCTCAAGAACTGTCTCTCTGTAGCTCGGTCAGTTGGTTAGAGCTCAATAACTGTCTCTCTGTAGCTCGGTCAGTTGGTTAGAGCTCAATAACTGTCTCCCTGTAGCTCGGTCAGTTGGTTAGAGCTCAATAACTGTCTCTCTGTAGCTCGGTCAGTTGGTTAGAGCTCAATAACTGTCTCTCTGTAGCTCGGTCAGTTGGTTAGAGCTCAATAACTGTCTCTCTGTAGCTCGGTCAGTTGGTTAGAGCGCTGCACCGGAATCGCAGGTTCGATTCCTACCAGAGGGCGATAGTTGCCTTTTCCGCAACTGACCTGATTAAGCCAGTTTTCCACCAGGAGAAATTTTGCGCGCGGAGCAGAATTTTGCTTTGTGCCTTTGCCTTGTGATTTCTCGGGTGGAATTAATTCGAAAAGACAAAGAAAAATCCCGCTTAAGCCTGGTTCACATTGATCGTAAACATCTGCGATGCCCATTGTCGGTGGTCATTGATGCATAAAATGTTTTGTGCATTTTCTTTTTCGTTGCTAACAGACAATGGATCGTAGAACATCGCCGATCAATGTGAACCAGGCTTTAAACGTATAACAACTACACTCCAAATTTTGGGGTTCTCACTACGTATGAGTTGTTTTGGGAAAAGCGAAAGAGTTGTTTTGGGAAAAACCTCGCCAATCATGCTATAAGTCGGTTGGCCCCGGCCGAGGGATTTTTCTGGCTTAAAGCCGCCGACGTTCGAGGTGTTTAACAGATGTATCTGCGAGGTTGGCAAACGTCTTTGACTCTTTGTCTGTGTACCTTTAAAAAAATTTTAAACGCTTTACCCATAGAGATTATAGAAGAATAGAGTAGTTATTATGGGGAAAATGGAGGGACAAATTGATCAAGCTTCTTAATGGGGGCAAATAACGCTCTCTGATTGGTTAAAATCTCGTTGCCCAGATGTAAACTCTCATTCCCAAATGCAAAGCCGCGACACGAATACATGGAGTTTAATAAAAAAGATTTTGAAGAGCGGGGATACGATAGTGCCCCCTTTACTCACCATTCAGTGGTAACACCACCACCAGTAGCAGCCATACCACAACTGTAATATATATTTTCGCCATTCCCATCCCTTTCCTTGCTTTCAGCATGTTTCAATGTTCCTAACGACGCCATGTATTTAGCCCATTTAGCAGCCTTTGCATTCATACCCTTGTTTAGTTTCATTGCGGCAACCTTGTGGATTGCTCGATACTTGTTGTGAGCATCCAAACTTTCTTGTTCAAATGCACCTTGCGCTGAAGAGAATGAAATGTCATCATGACTATTTGTAGGACAACTGGCATGGGTGTCAATCCTGCCGGGGGGGATGGACGCACCCCCTCACTTTTTGGACATTCGTAATATAATTTAAAATTAGAGTGGCAAAGCTAGCCCGAAAATTTGGATATGCTATGACTGAGTGTTATCGTTCCAGGAAAAGTAAAATAAATTTTAAATCATCATTATTCATCTCTTAAAAAATTTGATTGTTTTCACGGTCTATCAACACTGAAATATTTGCATAGCATGACCAAATTGTCGAGTTGGCTTCGCCACTGATAAATTACGTCCATTGGTCGACTTCATCCCCCCCTCCCCGCACATTTTGGAATGGATTGTCGCTTTTGATAACTTTTACGGGCATTTGATCCTTCATATACACCCAGCTCACCGAAAAGCGCATCTGGATGATATCTGCATGCATGCCCTTTGTTGCAACGCCACTTCATGCCTTCATGTTAATGCCAGCGTGCAGACGCGCGCTGATTCGTGATAGACCGCGCGGTGATGGCGTATAAAGGAACTGAAACTGACGTACTATATAGCGTGGCGATGACCGCGCGGCGATGGCGTATAAAGGAACCGAAACTGACGTACTATAAGGCGTGGAGAGCTGACGCACTGCTCACATGTTGCTCACGTGAGGCTTCACTTTTTAACTGCCAAATGACTGAGTGTTATTGTTCCAGGAAAAGTAAAATAAGGAGAACGGAGGGACAACCCCCCTCCCCTCCGTTCTGGTTTATAACCAGCTCCGAGAGATATTTAAATCCGTTGAGAAATATTGGGAGGGTGGTATTGCGCACAATGTAGCGTCCAACTTATATTTATGCTTCCTTAGCAAGCAAGTTTTATGCTTTTCACAATGCCTTGTTTACTGTTTTGCTAAGTGATTGTTACGGACCATTTCTTATTCAGCTAGCAAATTTGATTGCCTTCCCGGGGCTCTGAGATGCCCCAGATTCTGGGGCAGCATGCACCTGATCGCAGTACACGCACAGCGATATCTTGATGACGTCACACATCTCTCCTCCCCTTCCATTTCGCCTGCTACGCTACTGATATGAAGACTTTATCCCACCTGTTATCTCGCATAGTATCGCCGCCAGTTAAGCCTAAATGGAGTGTTTTAAATCCTAATTAATGCACGCATGAGTATTTCAAGATGTCGCTGATCAGACCTCTTATGCAGGTTCTATGCGTAATGTAGAGGCCAATAATACATATACTTACATTGTTCTTTCCCTCCACCACCTCCTCCACCACCTTCTTGGCCACCTCCTGCTCCACCTCCAAAACCTCTACCTCCCTCGCCACCACCACCACCTTCCTTACCACCTCCTCCTCCACCACCACCGCCTCCACCACCTCTACCACCTTCCTGACCACCTCCTCCTCCACCTCCCTTACC